TTAGGTCGTAAAATGGGGGCAAACTCACTTAACAAATGTCTCATCTGGCAACAGAGTTCCTGGGCTCAATTGTGGTCGTAAGTCGAGGACCACCTGTATGAGGCGGCCTTAAAAGCCCCCAGAAGAAAGAAGAATAATTTTGAAATCTCACCTGCTTATGCATTTCGATGTTGAGGCCATAGGACATCTCGTAATACTGGAAGGAAAAAAAAGAGAGAGAGAAAATTAAAATATATGGTTGTTAGATGAAATCTAGGCCTGTCTCCTGTCTCCTAATTTCTGGAGTTCTCTATGCAGGATTTGAACTCATCTCCCAATTTTACAAAGAGAAGTAATCCATATTATGATCATGGCCAGACACAGCTTCTCTAAGGCGAACAATGGGTGACAAGATTAGAAACAGACGCAGTTGTGGATTTTCCGTCTCTGGAGGATTTTAAGATTCCATGATTGCAAAGAGCTAGACTAGATGACCCTTGGTGGTCCCTTCCCAGTTCCCAATTCTGACAGTAACCAGCTTTCCTGCTCATTGCAAAGGGGTGCATTAGATGACCCTTGGAAGCCCCTTCACAATTCTTGACAGGACACTTTCTGATTTTCCTGCCCGTTGGCAAAGGGGTGGAATATAGATGACCTTTAGGGGTCCCTTCCCATTCCACAATTCTGGCACTAACTGGTTTTCCTGCCCACTGCAAAGGGCTGGACTAGATGATATTTGGAGGTCCCTTCCCAGTCCTCAATTCTATCACACTAACTGGTTTTGCTGCCCACTGCAAAGGGCTGGACTAGATGACTCTTGGAAGTCCTACTTAATGATTCTATGATTCTCAGCAACATGAAACAAGACACCACCTTTTGAATTTTGGAAGAGTAACAGCACACAATACAATTTCTCTGTCCTTTCCACACGCCTGCAATTTTGCCACACCCACAATTAAAATTCCTTCCTGGCACGGGATTTAAATCAAAGCTCCCCAGCGTGGCCAGCAAATTATTATTATTATTAAAATAGTTTTACTGTAAAGAATGTCGGAGCAAGAGAGGATGCGGAAGTGGGAAAAGGAGAAACAAGATTTACGAGGAAAAGAAATGGGTGAACCCAAAAAAAATTTGCCTAGTTAATCCTCACAACAGTTCATTTAAAGTTTCAGCTGCATTGAAAAAAGGGAGTTATGACTTTCTCACACTTACGACTAGCACCCCTGTTTTCATGTGATAAAAATTAGTATGCTTAGCAACTGACATGTATTTATCTTTGCAGGGTCCCAGGGATATATATAGCAAATCTAGACAGCATCTTAAAAAGCAGAGACATCCCCCTGCCAACAAAAGTGTGTCTAGTCAAGGCTGTGGTTTCCCCAGTTGCAATGGATGGCTGTGAAGNAACAATTAATCAGTGGAACAGAAGTTGCCTCCAGAAGTTGTGAATGCCCCAACACTGGAAGTCTTTAAGAAGATGTTGGATAGCCATGATTTGTCTGAAACGGTATAGGGTTTTCCTGCCTGGGCAGGGGGTTGGACTAGAAGACCTCCAAGGTCCCTTCCAACTCTGCTATTGTAAATTAAAGATTATATAGCTCCCTCCATCGTCGCAAGTCACTTTTTCCAATTAGGTGTTTTTTGCATCTCCTTGGTAACTGCTTCCAATCTCTGGCCAGCACCTGGTAGAATGACCTTGGTTCCCACGAGATAGTTAGTTGTTGATATCTGGTCTGACATTCCTAAGCTCCCTTTCCCCCCACAAAAGTGTGGCAAGCTGAAAAACGGAGGAAAATGGCTGCAGCAGGCCCAATCCAATTCGAAGTTGGCAGCATCTTTGAGAAAACCCATGACCTGGATGACTGAGAGTCTCCATAGATTTGTCGGCTTTAAGATTTGTGGACTTCAATTCCCAGAATTCCCCCGCACTAAGGGAGAAAATTGAAGTCAAGCACATTTTTTAAAGCAGGGGTCTCCAACCTTGGCAACTTTAAGGCCTGTGGCCCTCAAAGCTGGCTGAGGAATTCTGGGAGTTGAAGTCCACAGGCCTTAAAGTTGCCAAGGTTGGAGACCCCTGTTTTAAAGGACTCAAGATTGAGAAATACTGACAGTATCTTGCTGACCTCCAAATCAGAATGCTTTCCTGCGTGGATTGGCCTACTTTACAGGGCTGTTGTGAGCACGATAGCAAAGAATCAGGAATGCTGTTGAATTTCTCCGTGGAGGAAAAAGGGAGTTTTATGTTCAGCAGTGCCTACCCTGTTTCCCCGAAAATAAGACCTCCCTGGATAATAAGCCCATTCGGGCTTTTGAGCGCATGCGTTAAAATAAGACCTCCCCGAAAATAAGGCCAAGTGACTTACGGTCCTTTCCCCCACTTAACGACCACATCTCCATGGTCACGTGATCAAAACTGAAGATGTTTGGTAACTGACTCATATTTATGACAACTGCAGTGTCCTGGGGTCAACGCGATCCCTTTTTGCGACTTTCTGACTAGCAAAGTCAATGGGGGGAGTTAGATTCATTTTGCCACCGGTCGACTAGTTTAACAACGGCAGCGATTCGCTTAACAACACTGGCAAGAAAGGTCGTAAAATGGGGGCAAACTCACTTAACAAATGTCTCATCTGGCAACAGAGTTCCTGGGCTCAATTGTGGTCGTAAGTCGAGGACCACCTGTATGAGGCGGCCTTAAAAGCCCCCAGAAGAAT